TGAAGGCAAAAGGAGAAGAGGATGGCAGAGGATTAGATAGCATCACTGAAGCAATGAGCATGAAACTGAGCAAACTCAGGGAGGCAGTGAAGGACAGGAAGGCCTGGTGCAATATGGTCCATGGCGTCACGAAGAGTCAGACACGACTTAATGACTGAACAACAACATAGATTATGACTTAACCTACTTTTGCCAACTTTAGATGAAAAATAAAGACAAAGTAGTTTTGTCCCTATGGCCATACCTTAACACCTGAAATATTTCAAGTTTTTGTTCTGTCAAAACATGGATTATTTGAGCCATTTCTAATTTTGCTCATCAGAACATGGGACACTCAAAATGTTCTAAGATGGGCTGTTTTGTTCTCAGCTCACAATGAATTTTTTTGCCATTTCATGCATACCCCTACTTCACTGCCAAGTAAATCCCTAAAGTCTTCTAAAAAAGCAAAGCAAAACAAAACATACCCAATCCATCAGCAGATTGATAACAAGGCGAGATAATACACTGCAAACACTACAGTAGGGGCCCAACACCAGTGGGTACTTTGCCATAACCCTTTGTGCCCACAGTGCCAGATCTCTTCATCCCTTAACATAGGGTAGGTGACCCACTGACTACCTTTGGCCTCCAGCACCCCAAGATTGCACTTTTAAAATTTGGAAGTAAAAAAATTGAAATCTTGTCCTTTTTCATTCAAATCAGAATGGAAGAAGAATACCTTGGGTAGCCTTCCGCTTCCATTTCTACTCTTAATTCCAATATGTAATAAAGGTTAGAAGATTGATTTGGGCCTGATTTTTTTAGGGATAGGAATGGAAGCAGGAAACGACTGGGATTCAAACCATTGCCATACCAATCCTTAAAGCTCTATCTGTGAAAAACACCCCCAATCTGGCCTGAAAAATGGCTATCTGAGGACATTTTGAGAGGGGATTAAGGATGGAATAGGAGCAGTTGTCTGCCAGAGATCTTGTGCTCCCATTCCCACCCTGTTAAAAAAAGGGGGGGTGAAAAAATGTGGCTTCACCTCTTCTGGTGTGTGCGTGTGTGTGTGTATGTGTATGCTATTTAGTTATTTTGTGTTTTGTTCAATTTATATAGCTGCCCATCTCACATATGTGATTCTGGGTACCTCACAACAATTAAAAACAACATCAAGAATGATAAACAAATGCAACTAAAGACAGCAAACATATAAAACCATACTAAAGCCATTACTAAAAACCATATTAAAACACAAAAACACAGTCACGAGATATTCTCCTGAGTTCATGTAAAAAGTCTGAAGGCAGAGTTACAGTCTCCACTCCTGCAGACATTACCCAACTGCCTTATCATACAATCAGTATACAATTGTATGAAAAAGAAAATACACCCTCTTTGAGTTCTATGGTTTTACATATCAGGACATAATAAGAATCATCTGGTCCTTAGCAGTTC